TGTATATTGAGTAAGAGCATGTTCCTGCATGTTTGGGACTCTGCAGCTTCCATCTTCACTTTGTGAAGTCACACTTCAGGACTTGTGTTCTGAACTCATTAAAAGCAAATGAACAAATAAGAAAAACCTGACAGTGCCTTTATAACAGTCTCTATATACTTACTTTGCAAAACCAATGAAGTCTTCATGGTTGGTGTTGATATAAGAAACCTGGATATCAATCAGCAGCAGCATCTATTAGGGGAGATAGGAGAGCAAATATAAGGGATTGGTAAGGTGGAAGAGAGAGATTGAAGAAAAGGAAGGGAAAAAACCCCAGAACTTCTGAGTTTTCTGCATTATTGAATATTGCTTTCATAACTGTTCAAGCCAAAAGCAATATTTTCTGAACTCCACCACTTCTGTTTCTGTGCTTGTTTAATAAGTTAGACTACAGAAGAGCTATTCCCTCTTCCTATTTTTTTTCCTGACAAACCTCATTTTTCACTACCTTGGCCCTGATCCACCCCATTAAGATCAATCACACACAGGCAGAGAGACTTTTAGAATTATATAACAGGGATTCTAACTCTGCATTCTGCAAGTTAAGCAAATTTCTGTCTATCTGCAGCATTCCAGCCAAGCCAGCAAGGAACACAAACTTTAAACCTGAAGAAAATGTAAGGCCCTGGATTTTATGACAAAAAGAAAATGTAAGGCCCTGGATTTTATGTACCACACAAAGAAGTGATAGGTAAGCTATCCCTGGAAGGAAGGTACAGTCCAGGTACTAGACTGGTGTGCACATCTGGCTTGAGAGATGGGCTAGCACTGAAACAACAGAATGGTTTGTGTACTTACCACTTGTCAGCCCTTCAATAGCCCAGAGACAGAACTTCATTCAACCTTGATAATCTAACTTGGCAAAGAACTTGCTAAGATATTAGCAAAAGCTCACTCATACCCTCCAACAGCTTCAAGAACAAGAGACTGCACTTTCCCCTCCATCTTTTTAGACTTCCATTTATCAGGAAGGAGCAAGGAAGAAACCTACTGCTTACCAAATGGCAGCATTTCATCTCTTCAAAGTGCATAGCATTATTTCTGTACAGCACCTCAAACACAGCATCACCCCCAAATTCTGCACAATTTCCAGAAGATATCAAACACCTCACTTGGAGCAAAAAATAGTGGGGATTTGGGTCTACCTGTGAACATATCCTCACTAGTGTTTTGATTGATTAACAATAACTGCTAACAACATAAATAATGCTATGACTATGTGGCAATAAACTATCTGACCAATTCTTGGCATTTACACAGAACTGGTACTTTGTGCTTTATTCTAGGACAGAGTCAGGTATGTGCACACAATGAAGAATGGGAAAATAAAAGACACAATTATTCTAAATTACTTGTATCTTCTCCCAGGTTTTGAGATAACTGAGTGGTCTAACCGGAACTCCCTGAAAAGTACAAGCTCAGCAAATACATTTTTTTTAAGACTACATTTGCAGCACAGACAAAAGGAAAGGAGACAAGATGTGCTGCACAGGGACCAGGACTAGAGATCCAGGACTCTAGAACAATTTAGGAGCTCTACCTAGCTCTTCTTCCACAAATATTCCTGTTGTCACACTCTGCACCCTCCAGACAACAACTCCTGCTTCAACTTCCAGTGGATTTTCCCACATATAATCTAAACTTTGCAGTTTCCTGGATTTGGAGTGCTTAGCTGGGTGATGAATCTCTAAACAAGTTAGAAGTTTTTAACTTGAAGTAAAGCTTGTCATTCCTGCAGGAGTCCCAGTACAATTGTTTGTGAGCCTCATTGCAATTTGAACATGGGATGGGCACGATAAAAACACCTGGAAACAAGGTAGGAAAAGGGCTGCTATATCTGGGCACATCCATTTCCCACAGACAGCTGTGATGGCAGAGCTAAGAGGATTCAACTGGCACAGGAACAAACCAACACTACAATCAGTCACTGCTCAACCTTTCTGTATCAATTCTACTCTTATCTGTCAAAGTTCAGTGTTAGAGAAGCAATTTTTCCTCCCTCTCTAAAATGTACAGCCTGTTGAAAAAAAAAATATTAAAAAAAATAAATTTTTCCTGTCTTACTGCACTCTCTACATAAGAACTTTCCTCCCTCACACACTTCCCTAAACTGTTAGATCTCCTGTTTATTCTCACCTGATCCTTGGTCTTCTCTTCTCTCTCACGAATGTAGCCAGCAACAATTCTTTCTGTTTCCTCACACAACCTGGGATAAGTTGCCAACTGAAACACAAAATTAATAGGCGTTTACACCTGCAGGGTGGCTTAGGTGGAACACAAACAGGGGAGCCTCCAGCCTTCCTCTTTAGAAGAAAGCAAATGCTAAAATGCTTGGGCTGAAAGCTAACCACACTGCAAGGCCTTACTTTTTATTATTCAAAGAAACTGGATAAACCCTTGGGTTGTTTCTGTGCTTTTGCTCCATGAACATCGAGAAAAAGACACTTTGGACATGTGAAACACAGCCCATCAGCTTTGGGATGAGGTTTCTCTTTCTTCTACTGTGTCTAATTCCAGACTGGCCCTTTAAATAATTTAATCTCCAAATGTCTTGTTCTTTAAAGGCTCCACCTTGTGGCAACATCTCTACAGAACGATACTCAGAAATTCAACAGCAAATTTGGCCAATGGCACTGGGAAAAGCATCTGCACAATTAGTTCAGGTGACACATGTTCCAAACTCTGACAAAAGTGAAAAAATCCGGAAACTCCTCTCAAAATGTAAGAGTGAATCTGCTTCTCTATGATCTTTGTCTTTCCTGTTTTAAGAAATATCTCCTTTTCCTGCTCCAATTGGTACAAAAAATTTGCTTTATTCAGAAAAATGTAAAGGATGTGACAGGGTATTTCTCAGCAACTTCACCACACCTGTGCTCACACCCCAGATGATCTTGCTGCTATGGGGTACCCTGCACTGAAACAGTAGCTAAGAAGTGACAACATGGTTTCAAAGAGGGAACTAGGGGCATCTCTGGACTCAAAAACACCTTCCATCATAAGACCTAAGAAGTAACAACATGGTTTCAAAGAGGGAACTGGGGGCATCTCTTGACTCAAAAACACCTTCCATCATAAGACTCTAAACAAAGGAATCAAAGAATTGAACTTTCCCAGCATTACATTGTTTTGAGAGCTTTACAGAAGTTGTAATTACTTGAGTCTTACTCTGTACATCAAGAGATGGATCAGAAATCTCCTGTAATACCATAAAAACAACATGGTTTCAAAGAGGGAACTGGGGGCATCTCTTGACTCAAAAACACCTTCCATCATAAGACTCTAAACAAAGGAATCAAAGAATTGAACTTTCCCAGCATTACATTGTTTTGAGAGCTTTACAGAAGTTGTAATTACTTGAGTCTTACTCTGTACATCAAGAGATGGATCAGAAATCTCCTGTAATACCATAAAATGCCAGACAGCTTTGTATTATCTACTGTCCCATTAGGTTTTACTTACATTACCAGCTCTATGTGCAAGCTACCTTTTTTGTGCACTTCTTGACAGTGTTGATTAACTCTTGCATCACCAGATCCACACTTTTTAAGCAAGGTCCTTTCAGCTTAACTATCTGTTTTTTAACAATGGCCTCAAACGCCATATCTGGAGTGAACAAACCTGTTCTGTGGACATAAAAGAATGTGTAAGACAGTAATAAAAACATCATGCAAGGAAGATTTTTTTTCTTTATGAATTGCTCAAACCTTCGTTTTCAGAGCTGAGTAGTAACAATCCTTACACAGACAAACTCCCACAGAACTAAATTTGCTCCTTTCTCAAAAAACCACAGTGTCATTCTGATAAAGAATATTCAAGTAGAAACATGTTTGAAAGATGAAACTACTTCAAGAGAAATGTAAGAACTCTAAAGAGTACTGATATAATGCAGAAAAGCCTCATCAGCAGTGCAGCAAACCTTAGGGAAGGGATGAGTGGCAGTTGCAGCACTCCATGCACAACCACTTGCATAGCAAATCCATAAGAATCCTAGAGCTGCACTTCTCACTCACACCAGGAAATGTGGGTCTGTACTCAGAGTCCCACATGGAGAATTTCACAGTTGGTCACTGCAGAGTATATGAACCTAAATAATGGATCCCTCAGAGCTCTAGTTGTAAACAAATGGACTTTACTTCTCTGTCACTGCTCACCAAGGTCTGTCTTGGCAGATAAATGATATAAAAAAGCGAACTACAAAAACATGCCCCAAACTATCAGTTTACTACCATAAATCAAGACCTCTCCGTCAACAAGGCAAGGAAAGCTCAATTGCTGCACCACAGCTACTGGTGTCAACCACTGGAGAATTTACTAATCAAGTGACACGAGAAACATTTCCCAAAACACTAAGAGCAACAAAGCTTGTAGGCAATGCTTTCTGAAGACATTACACCTGTATAATGTGACCTTACACACTTGATATAACTTGGCTTGAAAACATGGGAGCACTTGCCTGATACCATGTATGTTCTTGATGGCATAACTTATTTCTCTCCTCAGTTCCTTCTCATTGAATTCCATCTGGAGGAACCACAGCATACAATACCACATTAGGGGAAGTTTTGAACAAAACAGAAAGTATTACCTCTCTCAGTATAACTGGAAAACAGACAAGTTCAACTGTCAAAATAGCAATTTCTAATTACACTAAATGGCTTCATTTAGTACTTTAAAGTACTTCATTAAGTACTTTAAAACATCTTGGTGGTGAGACACTGGCACAGGTTGCCCAGAGACGTGGTGGCTGCCCCAACCCTGGCAGTGTTCAAGGCCAGGCTGGATGAGCCTTGAGCAACCTGATCCAGTGAGGAGGGGTCTCTGCCCATGGCAGGGGGGTGGGGCTAGATGATCTGTAAGGTCCATTCCAACCCCTAAATTCTATGATTCTATGATCTTAACACTAAGGCAGCAGGCAGCAGTAAGGATTGTTCAAATCCTTGATCGTTGAAAAATCATTTGAAAATGATTGAAAACTAGTTGAAATCATGCCCCCTTCCATTCCAGACACACCAACAGCTGGAATGGCTTTGCAGAGTTGACAGAGTAAGCCAGAAACAGGATTTGGAAGATGCCACTTGTTTTTTAAGCCTTATTTCTTTAAATGGTGCAACTTCTGTGATTATGGTCTGTTTTTCCTCCCCTTCCCATTCTACTGTTTTTTAACCAAATTTAAGAGGAGAGAGGTCTTAGTTATGAAATTACAAATCGTTTCTTGAAAGCAGCTAGCTGGACAAGAGGTTAGTGTTGCCACAAGTGAAAGGGTTGTTACCTAAGCCCAACCATCATAAAAAGATTTGGGTTGGAAGGGACTTGTCATCTGCTCCACCTCTCACTATGGAAGTGTAGCACTGAAAGCTGCTTTGCTTCATGCACTGAATACAGAAAGTAGAACACACAGAAAATGGGTATTTCCCATAACTCTGATTTTCATAGATAATACCTGCTTCCACACAACTTCAGCTTACCATGTGCAGTTGTTTGCCTGCCTCATCTAACCAAATGCCATTTGTGATACAATAATACAGAACATAGTATGAACTGAGACTATGATTATATTCTACTCCTTATATCTTAGACTTCTTAGCAAGTCTCAGTATCCAACACTAGAAACAAAACCAAACATCTCAATTATACCTTCATGTAATTTCTTACATAATTAAGAGCATGCTCTTCCAATCAGATCTTTTCTTGGCTGTACTGTCAGTACACACTCTCAGTACTAACATAATAATACATAAATAAACCAGAAAGCACATCAGCAAGATGATAAATACCTTCACTAGTTCAAAAGGAAAACGTTCATGGAAAATACGATTGATTTTGGCACCTCCTGAAAGTTCTAGTGTATCAACTTGATCTCCTGATCCTTCGATTCTTTTTTCAAAGTCCACTGAAAACTGTTGCACCATCCTAAATTTCAAAGCAGGGAGAAAAAACAAACAAATACAACCATTTAATTATGTCAACTACTAACTCTTACTTCAGTCCAATGTGACTACTAGTGCCTATCAAAACATATTTAGGATTTGCCAAAAGTATCTGTAACAATTGATTCAGCCAAAAGGCCAATCCATAAAACCCATACCTACACACATCCCTCCTCTCTTGCAGGTTGTAGCAGTGTATCATTTTCTCTCTTCATATATGTTGCATCTTTTTAACAGTTTATTAAACTTTCTATAGAAGTCAGCTACAAATACAGCAGGTACCAGGCTATGTTTGTGGTTTTTTAACGATCCTGGAGGGAAGGGATGTGCCATCCAGAGGGACCTTGACAGGCTTGAGAGGTGGGCCAAAGCAAACCCCATGAAGTTTAACAGAATGAAGTGCAAGGTCCTACTTCTGGGCCGTGGCAATCCCAGGCACAGCTACAGGTTGGGTGGGGAAGGAATTGAAATCAGCAGTGAGGAGAAAGACTTGGGAGTGACAGTGGATGAGAAGCTCCCCATGAGCTGCAGGGTGCACTAGCAGCTCAGAAAGCCAATGGAATCCTGGGCTGCACCAAAAAGCAGACTGATTTTGTGGATGAGACCCAAACCAGACAGTGACTTCAGCAGTGCAAAAAGCTTTCTAGTTCGGAACTTATGATAATGATTCCCAAGAATGTGCCTAGCTGCTTTCTGAAAGCACACAAACTTTTGCCATCAATTACTGCAGCAAAGATCTCAGGGTCTTAGGTACACATCATATGAAGGACAACCATCTATGACCAATTTTGATCTTGCCATCTTCAAGCTCCTCTGGACAGACAGGGTTTTATACTAGAAAAAGCAACATTCCTTATTCTCCTTTCACCTCCTTATCTCACGGACTTCTAACACAATATCCTTCCCTTGCTTGAGGTCATCTTTTTGGCAGAGAGAAGAATGTGACTATACAATCAGCAGCAGTTTCTTACCTTTGATCATCTCTGCTGCCCATCTTTATACCTTTTCCTTGTTCTGCTTTCTCTCTTTCCTAGAATTACTAAAATTAATTTAGGGAAAACTCGGATGAAATTGTAGAATAAAGTGTTCTAGAACATCAAACACAGAATTCTTTGAAGCTTGCATACAGAATCCTTAATATCCTAATCTTTAAATTTAAACCAATTAGAAAGAAGGGGGCGAAAGGCAAAACAAACCCAAACAAAGTGGAAAAACAGACAAAAGACACTCACTGCAACAAGGCTTTCGTTTTTCTGGTTGGATCTTCTGGTCTGAAGTTTTTGTATGCCTCTACTTCATGTTCTATAGAAAGCAGCTGGCTCTGGAGTTTGCTTCTGAAGGCTGGCAGGGTATCCCGAATATGATTGGTAAGTTGCTATAAAGCAAATAAAAGTCCTTTTATACAGTTAATAAAGATGAAAGCAGGAGCACAACCATTTCCTTCTGACTCCCAAGCATATCCGCCATGATCTGTGCTAGTTTACCAGTGCAGTTCCCTTTTGATCTCTGAAGCAATGGAGACTGTTAAAGAACAATATCACCTCCCTTGTGCATACACATCGTAAGGAGGCTCAAAAAATTCCTTTGTCCTCTCACCCACTGAGCCCTGTTACTACATACCAGGTGAGTTACACACAAGAGTCACACACACTACAAGTGTGATTTGAAATGACCTCTTATCATTCAGCACTGATGCCACCACTCCCATTTTGCTGGTTTTCCTAAAGCTGTTTCCCAATTCCCTACATACTTGTTTAGCAGGACAACTCCTTTACATTACAGCCACAAAGCAATGTGGAACAAGAAAGAGACTCTGAGCATCCACAGCCCATTGATGGACTTTACTCCAGAGATGGAGCCAAGTGCAGACATCAGAGTAGCTGCTCAACACTTCTCTCACATGATTTCTGCTCCCTTGTGCAAAGTATACTAAAGGGAAGAGATCTTGCCCTCATATTAGTGGCAACTTCAGCTTTTTTTTAACATTTGCTTTTTGGCTGAATACTTTCAGTTTTCATTTCTGAAAATATACCTAAAAGCACCTCAAGGTATTGGAAAACAAACTGAAGGAAGGACAAGTAGAAAAAAAAACCTTACCAGATCTGTGTTTAACTTAGTTCACTTGTTTTTGCATATACATGTTTTAATGTGTTTGGACATCACTATCAATGTCTTACCTGTGCCAGAAATTTCTCAGGAACTGTACCTAATCCTTAACTAAAACCAAACTGGACTTCTTCCACCATGCCCCAATCTTCCCAAACCTCTTCCCAGCCCCATCATACAAGGTGTAAATTTAGAATATCATATACCAAAATATATATAACTCAAATGTAAAGCTGTGCAGTAGATCCACAAGCACAAAATCAAAAGCTGGAGCTTCCCTGGAGCACCACCTTGTGGATACAGGGAAAGCAAAAAAAGTTACCTGAAACCACAAACACTAACAAGTCCCGAATATCTTAGGGAGGAAACTTAAGTTGATCTTCCCCTATATATCATCCTACACACAGTAAAAGCGACAGAAGGTCAACAGTTCCTATTGAAGCAGGTAAATTTACAAAACAGCTCATGAAATAGTTAGGAGTACATAAAGTAATGCAAGTCAGGACAGATAAGACAGTCCAAAGATATGTGCAGCTCATGCTTCAGTCTCAAAACTAAGACATGTGGATTAAACTTTCAAGAAATAAGAAGAGGCAGTACATTCTAAACAGAGACAACATTGCAGGATACAAGAAAGTTCTTGCATCCTGC